CCTGACTTCCAGCCAGCAGAGAAAAATCTAGCTCCTTTCTATACTCGGGTTAGTGGAGGAATGAGCTTGGCTGAAGTCCAGGGAGAGGGTAAGTGGGGTGGTGGAGTTAACCAGGGGCAGCGAGGTGAGGTAGCACAGCCAGACTCAGGAGCCAGGCACCACATGTTAGCTGTGTGACTGTGGACAAGTAGCTACGCCCTGGGTCTCAGTTTCCCTGTCAATGAAATGAGAGTAGAACACTCACCTGGTAAAGATACTGGGGCGTAAAATGGGATCTCAGTATGTAAAGCAACAAGCATACAACCTGACAAAGGAAAAAACTCAACGACTTGCCTTTATCAGTGGGTTCTGGTATAACTTGGCCACAAGTTACACAAGAATAAAAATGATGATGGTGAAGAAAAGAGCAAACATTTATGGAGGACTTACTAAATTCCAAGCACAGTTCCAAGCATCTTGCATAAACCCCCACACCTATCGGGGTAAGTAAGACTGTCATCACCATTTTACTGTTCAGGAAACTGAGGGTCACACAGCTAGTGATTGGAGGAATGGGGATTTGAACCTAAGCTGCCTGGTTCTTATCCACTAGAAAGGACGTTTGTTATCCACATTACAAGAAGTCTGGAGGCCGGGTGGTTGGTTGCAGGATTGGCTTCACAGCTTAGTGATGTCCCCAAGGAATCCTTCCCATCTTTCCACTCTTTCATCTCCAGTGTAAGGACTTTCCTGGTAACCATTACCACTCATGGTCCCAAGATGGCCACCTTGCTCCAGGATGTCTACACAAAAGTCTTTGTCAGGCCAAAGAAGAGGAGGGAATGTCTCCTGCCATGTTACTCTTCTTGAGGGGGGGAAACTCTTCCCCAGAAGCTCCCAGCAGGCTCTCACTCAGGTCCTGTTAGGCACATGACCCAGTCATGTGACCAGTGCTCCCATCGAAAGGAATCCTGGGGAAAAGAGACTATTGGGCATTTTCTGACTCTTTGATGGAAGACGAACTCCACTGGCAAGGGAGGGGGTAGGACTGCCTATTAGATAAACAACCATCAGTATCTTCCGTGATTCTTTTCCTAGTTTAAGGCAAGTCTTGTCTCCTACCCAGCCTTCCATCTCTTCTAGAATATACTCTATTAGTTATTGCTAGGCTTTCCTATGTCCCACTTCCTTATTGTTTATTCAACAAGCGTTTATTGAGCACCTACTGTATGCCAGGCACAGTTTTAGGTACCGGGGATACAGCTGTGAACAAAACATGAAAATTCCTGCCCTGGTGGGGTGGACATGCAGGAGCAGTGCCATCCAGTGAAACTTTATACAATGATGGAAATCAACTGTCCACATGTGGCTGTGGAGCACTTGAAATACGTCTAATGCAACAGAGGGACTGAATGTCTAATTTAATTTAATTTAATTTAAGTATATATTTAAACAGCTACATGTAAGTGCAACTAGTGCGACTGAGGAACTAAACGTCTGATTTAACTTAAATTAAATTAAGGGTATATTTAAATAGCTGTGTGTGACTAGTGGTTACCATATCAGGCAGCTGAGCTCTAAAGGCAAAGGGATACATTATCGACCTCTCTCTCTGGACATGTAAACATATTTAGTGTCTCCCACCCTGAAAATCCTCCTTTCTCATATCCAGTCTCTTGTTTCTGGTTCATCTTCTCTTGTTCTCTACAGCCATCAGCCACAGCAAGACTCCCTGTGACCTGATGCTGCTCATCCTTTGCACCTAACTCATCCATGGGCTGCCCTGGAGACCAGTGGCCTCGCCTTTCTCAAAACACTTTTGAACTTGACCTCCAGGAATGACCCTCTCTGCCGGGTCTCCTCCCAGCTCCGTGACTTCCTCTTTTCCACCAAGCTCCTTCCTCAACACATTGTGTCTTAAAATGTTGCTCTTCCCCAACATTCCACTGGAGGCCCTTGGCTTTTTTCATTTGACCTATCTACCCTAGGATATCTGGTCTACCATAACCCTGTTTTCCACTACTCTTTTCTCACTTACCAGAGTTTTATTGAGTACCTGCTAGACCATAAAAGGTGCTAGAGGTACTACAAAAAAAAAAAAATCTTTGTCTTCATGGTGCTCACATTCTAGAAGAAGAGGTGAATAATAAATACAGCTTAATAAGCAATGTAATTCTGGAGAGTGAAGGATCTCCTTAGCTAGAGGGGCCAGGGAGATCCTCTTTGAGAAGGCAAAATGTGAGCTCTGAAGGATTTGAAGAGGGCCATCGAGGCAAAGAGGGAGAGAGTTGAGGGGACGAGCATTTGCAGTAGAAGGAACGGCCGATATAACATTCCCATGTTGGGAAGGAGCTTTTCCTGTTGGAGGAACAGAAGATCAGTGTGGCCAATATGTGGTGGGACAGGGCAGTCAGTGGGAGTCTTGTGGTCATGGTAGAGTTTGGATTTTATTCTAAGCCTGATGGAAGCCAATGGAAGGTTTTAACAAGGGAGTCACAGAAAACTGGCATCTCAAACTCAGCGTGTCCACAGCCCAGTCTTGATCTTCCTCCAAACCTACCCCTTTCCTATCTCAATTTACAGTGACTCCATCCTTCAGGTAGCTCAGGCCAAAACCTTGCAGGCATCTTTGAGTCCTCTTGCTCCCATCCCACCACGCTCAATCTTTCCATGGGAAGCCCTGGTGGCTGCCATATTGTTCTCCATAGCATTTCCCACCATCTGGCATATCATATGTTTTCCCATTGTCTCTCTGTGCATGGCAGTGTCCTCAGGCATGTCCACCCCACCAGGGCAGGAATTTTCATGTTTTGTTCACAGCTGTATCCCCGGTACCTAAAACTGTGCCTGGCATACAGTAGGTGCTCAATAAACGCTTGTTGAATAAATAATAAGGAAGTGGGACATAGGAAAGCCTAGCAATAACTAATAGAGTATATTCTAGAAGAGATGGAAGTAGTAGGTGCTCAATAAACCCTCATTGAATGAATGGCCTTTGCTTAGTGGCTGATTCAGAACCAGGAAGCCATTCTTCCTTTCTGCCTTTCCCACCATGGCCCCCACCCCATCTAACGAGCCATGTGAGGTGGAGAACTGGGTTCCTGGCTTTGAGTTCTTGCTCAGTGGTGTGGACCTCCATGCATTAGTAACTTCTCCAGGCTCTAGTTTCCTCTGGAAAATGGGACCCATCCTGCCGACTGCTGGGATGCAGGGAGGATTTGATGAGCCCAGGCAAGCTCCCTGATGCCCAGCAATCAATGGCAGCTATATTTAAATTGGGGCCTCCTTTGTACTCCCACTGCCTTTGTCCTAGTTCCAGCCCTCATTACGCTGGCCTGCTCTCACCGCTCCCTCCTCGCTCTGCCTCCATCACTGCCCATCTGTCCTGTCAGCTGTCAGCCTTGTCTTCACCACGCCAACCCTAATCGCATCCCTCCCCTGCTCTGAAACCTTACATGACTCCCACTGTCCACAGGATAAGACCCATTTCCTCAGCCTCCAGTTCACAGCCTCCAACACCAGCCCACCCATTTCTCCCCACCAATATCCTGAACGAAGCTTCTGTCTCTGTGGTGCTTTCTTGGCCACAGAAGCCTTCCCTGCACCAGCAACCCCCCTCCACCCTGTTCCATCCCCTCCTAATTCCTTCTCAACTTTCCAGGATGGAGGATGAAAAATAGTACATCTTAGGTGCCGTTTAGGATTGCAGTGGGCCAGGGGGAGGTCGGATTATCTGCATTTCTGAGGCTTGAACAGGTTAGGACAAAGGCCACACAATGAGAACATGCAGGGCCAGGGTTTGACTCTAGATCTGAGATTTTGTGCTGTGCTACCTCCTCGTACTTGGGCTCCGTGGTGATGCTGTCCCCAGCCCTCCTGTCTGTATTCAGGTCCTCCTCATTCTCCTGCAGCCTGGGGCCAGAGGGATTCATGCTTGAACCTCACCCACTTGTGAGGTCACCTGAGGGTGGGGTCAAGTTCATCTCAGTGCTACCCCTGTGTCCAGCGCAGCCTGACCCAGACCCGCCACGGCTCACCTGGAAGTGCAGTGGCCCCTTCCCCCGCCATCTCCCAGCTTCTGGCCTTGCCCCTTAGGGGGCCTTCTTGTAATTCATGTCATGTCCCAACCCTCCAGTGCTCAGAACCCTCCATGGCTCCCATGTCACTTGGAGAAGGAACCAGAGTCCGCACCATGGCCCACAGGGCCCTGCACGATCTGCCCGTCACCACCCTGCCCTCACCTCCTCCTGCTGTCACCCTGGCTGGCTTGGCTCCAGCCAGCCACACCGGCCTCCTCACACTCCCTCAGCTGCACACCAGCAGAGCCACACTCATTGTTTGGTTTGGTTTCCTGTGGTTTTGTTTGTTTTTTTTTTTTTTTCCTTTTCATTTATTTCCGAGTAGCTTAGCACGCTTCCTGTGTGCCGGGCACCATGCTGATCACAGCACATGTATCAGTCCATTTAATCCTCACACCTCTTTGAGGCAATGTCAGTACTATTATTATCCCTGTTCTATAAAAGAGGAAACTGAGGCACAGAGAGGTGTCCTGGCTTGTCCAAAGTCACCCAGCTGGGAAATGGCAGAGCTGGGATTTGAACCCCATGCAGGCTGGGCTCCTAATCCTGAACCACTTTCCTGCCAGTTGATAAAGGGTACTGAGCTCCAAAGGGTCTGCCATTCTCCCTGGCCCCTCCCCAGGACCCCTGGGCCTCCCCACGATTCGTTCCAGTTGTGCATTGTGAAATATATTGAACGTCATCCTGACCATGTGCAACAGGACGCTTCTATTCCTCTCAATCCAGTGTTTATTACCACCATCAACCACACACCTTGTTGGGGTCATTATAAATCACCTTTTATCCTATAAGGCAGGTACGGTTAACATGGAAGACGAAACTGAGGCCAGCAAAGTAAAGTCACCCACCTGTGGTCACCTAGCCGATAAACGACATCAAATCCCATTCCCCTCTGACCCTGAAACCCACCCTCTGTTTTCCACTCTGGCTTCTTTCTTCCAGCATCTTGGCGACAGTTGGGACGGAGTTTGACCTACGGACGCTGAGGGCAGTTCGAGTGCTGAGGCCGCTCAAGCTGGTGTCTGGAATCCCAAGTGCGTGAGTTTCCGACCCTGGCAAGGGGTCTGCTCAGGGGTCCCGGGAGTCCTCAGTTTCCCCTCTGCAGAACATCTCAGAAGTGGCCCCTGAGTGCTTGCTTCCCAGCTTGTGCCAAGGCAGCCTTCTCTTGGGGGGAAGCTCCCAAGGGACCCCCAGGAACCTGGTAGCAGGTCTCCGTGAGCTTCTGGAAGCAAGCCAGGAGCCTCACCTATAACCACAGCACCTGTTTATTGAGCACCTGCTGTCTGTCAGGAGCCATGCTGATACATCTCAGTCAGTACTCACGATTCTGTGATGTTGGGAGAGAGTGCTGATATCTCCATTTTACAGATGTGGAAACTGAGGCTCAGAGCAGCTAAATAATTTGAGCAGGGTCATGTGGCTGAGAACGGCAGGACTAGGTGTTAGCAAGTGTGACCCCGAGCCTGGCCAGTAACACTGGTGGCAGTGACTGTGACCATCTATTGAGCACCTGCTGCATACTGGACACTGTAGAGAGAACTTTACATGCATTATCTTAGTTTGTCTTCCCAATCGCCCAGTGAACACATTTTACAAATGAAAAAGCTGACGCTCAGACAGGTTAAATTCTGCACCTGAGCTCTGACGACTTGACAGTGATGAGCTCCAGAGCCCATTCTCGTCCCATCTGCTTGCTTTCTCCTCCTCCAAGGGTGCTTCTGCCCCACCCTTTAGGCGCAGCTGCCATATTCAGGGTCAGATGCAGGTTGTGCTGCCAAAACCCAAAACAAAACAGGGTCGACCTTCTGTCCCACTGCCTCAGTTAGTACTACTACTACTAATTTTAAAAGCACGTGCTATGTGCCAGGCACTGTTCTAAGTATTTGCCATTTTAAAAATTCATTTGTCCTCACAACAAGCCTGTGATGTAGGTTCTATTATCAGTTCCATTTTACATCTCATTGGCTTCGTTTGTCAGGTTCATTGCCATCTGGATTTAAAGAGTGAGATCTCCCAGACGACCACCAGCAAGGTCTTTTGGTAGAAAGAAGGCACTTCTGCTTAGGTGTTCGTAGGATTCCAGGAGCTGCCAGCATTGCATCAAGGGTCATCCCCAAGCTAATACTAACAAAAATTTCACCACCTCTGGTGGTACTTTGCCAGATATGTGCTCTCTCATTTAATCATGAGAGGGAGGTGCTATTCCAGCCCCCATTTGCAGATGAAGAAACCAAGATTCAGAATGGTGACCTGACTTGCTGAAGGTCACATTGCTAGTAAGTAGATGACTAGGTCGGGTCCCCTCGATGCAGACTTAGCTAGGTGCCTAGGTGGCCCTGCTTTATCTGGAGAGTGCCGTCAGGAGAGAGAGAATGAGGGCAGCAGGATGGGATGGGGAAAGATGCCGAGCAAGGATGTAGTCTCAACCTGATCCCGTGGGGAGCTCTGGAGTGTGAGTAGCACCAGAGTTATCCCTGAACCTGAGGCAGAGGGACTGCTGGCCTTTCATCCTTCTCTGGTCACTTATTGGGGGCGGCGGGTGGGGAATGCCGAGAAGACAGTGGGTAAGGCAGCTCTTGATAACCAAAGGCAGTTGTATAAAGAGGAGGGGCAGCTGGGAGCTATTAGCAGCCAACACCCGCAGCAGCTGGAAGGGGGGCACAGCAGAGGTGGAGGATACCCGGCCTGGCCTAGGCACTAACCACAACCAGTGTCCAGAGCCTTAACCACTCCGCCACACCACCTCCATTAGCATCACCCATACGTTGCGGGTCCCTGTGGCTTCCACCCATCAGGAGGTGCTAATCATGAGCCGTGTAAAGTTCTTCTAATCAAGAAGCAAGGCCTTAGGCTTTTTGTTTGAACCCTAATTTTAACCATACACTTTCCTGATAGCACAGTGGCTACAAACATACCATTTGACATCACTCAGACCTGGGTTTAAGTCCCGGCTCTGTTATTTCTGACGCCCTTGGATGAATCACCTCTCTCAGACTTGCTTCCCAGCTCTGCAAAATGGGGATAATTTTACACGGGTGCCCACTTCATGGGGTTGTGTTAGAAGCCAATGAAATCATGTCTGGCTTCTCAGGACTGGAACTGGGACATTGACTGTCTTCCCCGTGCCAGAGGTTCAGCTAGCCTTGCTGGTGCCTCTGCATGAATTAGGTAAAGACGCCCCCTCTTGGTGGGAAAAATTAGGAAAAGGCACCCTGCTCTGGGTAAAAGCTTCCCAACACCCAGGAATATGGCTTAGAAAGCAATCCATTTCCACTCCTTCCTTGCCTAAAATGTCATCAAATGAGAGCATATGTCAAATACTTTAAAAATATTTTGAAATAAGAAGTGCCTTAAAATATTAGGAGGGCTTGTTCCCATTTTATGATGACCAGCGAGTGTGGTCCTTCATCATTGCCCCACCCCCAGCCTCACGTGTACTCTGGGTTCCTAGGGTTTGGGGTGCTTGCTCACAGAGCCATGGGGGCTCTCTCTGTGTCTTCTCAGGTTTACAAGTCGTCCTGAAGTCGATCATGAAGGCAATGATCCCCCTGCTGCAGATCGGCCTCCTCCTATTTTTTGCAATCCTTATTTTTGCAATCATAGGGTTAGAATTTTATATGGGAAAATTTCATACCACCTGCTTTGAAGAGGGGACAGGTAGGTCCAAGCAGCATGATGTGTTTTGTTTTGTTTTGTTTTGTTTTCAACCTTCCTCCCTTGGGGACAAGCTCCTGGAAGGGATATGCAGGGCTTTGCTTCTTTCTCCTGGCAGCTGGGAGAACTTCCTTCCAAAGTGCTGCAGGCAAAGCTGGGGGTGAGGTAGCCCTTGGGGTCTTGGTTGTTCTAGCGCCTTGCATTGGGGTCTCCCGGAAGCTGTCCCAGGGGTAAGTGGTTTATTTGGGAAGTGATCCCAGGAAGTGCCAGCAGGGGAGTGGGGACATGAGACAGGGAAGGAAGACAATCTAGTAAAGGGGTGTAGTGTTATCAAGTAGGATACCATTGTGGGCAGCTGGGGCTCGGTCCTCAGCTCCTCAGAGCCATCCCAGTCAGGGGGCAAGGGAACCAGGGTGTTATCCACCAACTTCTGTCTGACACTGATATGGACTGTCCCTGGGTGGGCATTAATGCGCCGGCACGGCTGGCTGACCTGCACGCAGGGCTGGAGCAGGCATGAAAGGTGTTTTCAGGTGGGAGTTTGGGGGGGCCTGGCAAACAGCAGGATATGGACAGGATGCCAGCCTCTTCCACCTCGTAAGCTTGCGGGGACCGCATCCCGTGCTGTGTTCTCAAGCAGGAAGAAAGGGGGCAGCCTGGTCAGGAAGGAAGGGGTCTGATTGCTTTTGGGGGGGCAGTCCCCATTACCTGGAGAAAAGGAATAGAAAGGGTGGTCCTCCTGGCCTCCCCCAGAATGTGCCTTGAAGACACCCAGCTGGGAGGCATGATGCCAACAGTCAGAACCTAGCGCAAGCAGGGTCCTGTGCGAATGGCAACTCCTCAGTGGTTGGGTCAAGAAATGGGGGGGGAGGGGGGCGGAGCAAGATGGCGGAGGAGTAGGAGACCTGGATTTCGTCTCCTCTCAGGAATTCAGCTGGATAGGGATCAAACCATTCTGAACACCTACAAACTCAACAGGAGATCGAAGAAAGGAATAGCAACAACTCTCTGAACAGAAAAGCGACCACTTTCTGGAAGGACTGTTGAGTCTCAGATCTGTACCTCTGAGACAAATAATGCAAGATATGTTAAGAAAAAAGAAGAAGAAGAAGAAGGTAGCGGGAGGGGAGGAATGAAGTGGGGGAAATCGGAAGGGTGGACAAACCATGAGAGAAGATGGACTCTGAAAAACAAACTGAGGCTTCTAGAGGGGAGGGGGGTGGGAGCATGGGTTGGCCTGGTGGTGGGTATTGAGGAGGGCACGTTCTGCATGGAGCACTGGGTGTTGTGCACGAACAATGAATCATGGAACACTTCATCTAGAACTAATGATGTAATGTATGGGGATTAACATAAGAATAAAAAAAAAAAAAAAAAAAAGAAATGGGTGGGGGGACAGGCAGAGAAAAGCCAGGAAGGCAGGAGGCTCACTTGTGGGACTCAGCTCTGAATCAGCGGCGTGGCGGGGCAGTGTCCGCCAATATCCACACGTTCGGGGGACCCGGCACCTTCCGGATACATTTTCCGTTAAATCTCCTGCTCCCCAAATTCCTTTGCTCTCTGGAGCCCAAGAACCAGATGGAACAGGATGAGGACAGAAGCCTGTATGTCAGTATTGGGACCACCGGCCATCTTGGTGCAGATGCAAGGCTGGCAGCACTAATCATGGGACAAGGGAACCATGAATTCAGGGGATGGACCTAGAGTGGATGGTGAAGCTGAAGGGGATCGCCTGTGAGAAATGAAAGGGGTTTTAGGCCTGTCTCACTGGGAAGAAGATTCCGGCCGGGAGTGGCTTCCTATCCATCTCCTGATGACCCGCACATGGTGGAGCCCTGGCCCCAGACCACCCCAGAGGGAAGGAAAACTCAGTAGGGAACATTTATTCAAGATGTCCTTTTTCTTCCTCCTTTTCTCTTGCTCCTCCTGACTCCTTCTCTCCTGGGCTTGTGAAGTTTGCTCAATATGGGATGTCCTAATTATTTCTTTCCCCGATGAAGAAGGTGTTAATTGAGGCAGAGCTATTTCTGCGACTGGCCTCGTCACCCGGGCGGAAATGCAGGAGGGAGAGATACAGGACAGGGCCCCTCAGAAAAGTCAGCCAAGAGCAGAGAAACCAGGACTCCTGGCGCCTAGGTTTTGGGGTTTTATTGAGGGTTTTTTTTTTTTTTTCTTTCTAGCTAAGCAGACACACAGCTGGCTTGGGTCTGAGTGGGGTTGTGAGGGGGCAGATGTGGGGGGAGCAGCTGGGGGGTTAGAAAGCCTCATTTTAGGAGGATGACTGAAAAGCTCGCGATTAAAAATATAAGGCGTGTGAGTAAGAGACAGATATATACAGACACCCAGGCAGCAGGTTAATTTTAAAATATATTTATAACCAAATTCCTCAGACTCTCTGGACGGTTGCTTTTCTAGAAGCAGCCCTCAGAGTGTTTCGTGATGGGGGGGCGGAGGGTTGAGGGGGGATTGAAATCAAGAGAACCACTGGGCCAAACTGCTAAGGAGAGACAGGTTTTCAGCTGCATTCCTTTATCCTCGGGAACCCAGTTCCCGCGTGCCCAGAACCGTGCCAAACACTCAGAGAAATGCAAAGGTAAAGTGGAAGGCGTTCTGCTTTCCAAGAGCCTCCAAAATCTTTTGAGGAGATAAGACTCCTCGTCTGCAACCAGTTCGTAGCAATGAAGGCTGACGTGTGCTTTTATCTCCCCACCAAATATGGACGAACACTGGGGAGCTCTTGTAGCCCTGAGGAAAAGGAGGGACCAGTGTTCACTGGCTGACGTGGGGGGGCTGCAGGGGGGTGGGAACTGAACCAGACTTGGTCGCAGGGTGGAGACGGAGAAGGTTCTGGACAGAGGTGACCTTCCCAACAAACAGGGGTTCTTGTTCCTTATAGAAGTCCATGCATTTTCTTCCCCCCTGCTCTGAGCCTTATGTTTAAAAGACTTTGCCTTCCAATCTGTATTTGTTAAATAATAGCCCCCTGTACCAAATCCAGCGTGAATGAGGAAGGCATTTCCAGCCACTTAAACTAGTGGCCGATGTGGTCATTGTTTCTTTATATCAGAACTTTGAGCAGTAGGTGTCACTTCTGAGAGTGGTGGGTGTCACTTTGCATGACCTACAGTTTCTATTTAACTGAAGCTTCAAAGGCCAATAAGATTCACGCCTTCTGTGCTGGTTTATTTCTCTCTGCTGCATGCTGAGTGGGGGTTGGGAATTTGTGCCCATAGCACATACATTGAGAGATATTTTTGTTTTGTGGAGAGCTTGAGTTTGCACACTTGGCTGTTTGTTTTCTTGGCGGACAGTGTTGCTCTCTGAAAACCTTCAGAAGTGTGACTCGCTGAATAGGGTCCTCTCGTATCCACTGCTCTGGTCCAGTGGGGACACCCCTGGGTCATTCTGTGCTCCCCTGATTCCATGTGTTCCCGGGGTCTCCCCATCAACACCTTGGAATTCAGACTCCACCTTTGGCACCCAGCCCAACTTCACCAGGAAGCTGTCTTTGGTTGCCAACGGGGCATCTGTTGGTGTGTGTCTCTTTCCTTGTGGCATTTTTACAATCTGTCTCTTGCTGTTTGGGGAGAAACTTAGCTCCTGTGCCTAAGGGTAAGTACTGTGTGTACTGGCCTCCCTCGCCCCCAGAACAGCTCCCTGAGCCCAGTACATAAGAAAGAAAGAAAGAAGAAAAGGAAGGAAGGAGAGAGAGAGAAAGAAAGAAGAAAAGGAAGGAAGGAGAGAGAGAGAAAGAAAGAAAGAAGAAGAAGAAAGAAAAACAGAAAAAAAGGGAGGGAGGGAGGGAGGGAAAAGGGGAGAGAAGAGGAGAGGAGAAAAGAAAAAATAGAAAAGAAAAATCAGGCTACAGAAAAACAGCATCACATGATTCACAAATTTGTCCTAATGGAAGTCTGGAGAACACTGCACCCAACCATCTCACAATGTGCATGACATATTCACCCAAATCCTCTATATTACGGTACATAAACCCTCTATATTAGGGTACATAAGACCCTCAACAGATCTTAAAGGACCGAATTACACAAAACATATCCTCTGATCACAGTGTAATCAAACTGGAAATTGGTAACAAAAGGATAACTCTGAAAATGTTTAGAAATTAAGAGGCATGCTTCTTATTTGTGGATGAAATGATAGGGTATCTGAGATTTGCTTTAAAAATATTCTAGTGCAGGGCAAAGTGTGGGGAGGGGATACAGATGAAACAAGATTAGCCCTGAGTTGATAAGCATTGCAATTGGTGATAGGTACATGGGAATTCGTTATACTAGTCTATGTTTTTAAGATTTTATTTATTTTAGAGAGAGAGCGCAGGGGTAGAAGCAGAGGGAGAGAGGCAAGTATACTCCACCCTGAGCACAGAGCCTGACACAGGGCTTGATCCCACAACCCTGAAATCATGACCTGAGCTGAAATCAAGGGTCGGACACTCAACCGACTGAGCCACCCAGGCGCCCCTATACTACTCCATTTTTTGTAAATATCTGGCAAGTTTTTTTTTTAATGCATCTTGGTTATCCATGGGTCAAAGAAGAAATAATAATGGAAATTGCCAAATATTGTACTTGAGCAATAATGATAATAATGAATGACAAATTTTGTGAGATACAGCTAAAGCTGCATGCAAATGGCAATTTATAGCCTTAAAAGAAAGTTTAGGAAATGCACAGGAAAAGTAATAAGCTTGGAGAAGAAATTAATAAAACAGAAAACAATGAATAGATCAGCAAAGCCAAACTTAAAAAAAAAAAAGACTGATAAATTCATTCCAATAGTCATCTTTTCCCAACAGTATTGAATCTTTACAGCCCCTATTTCTCAGAGTTGGTTTTCCTAGCCCCTTGCCCTGACTTTTCTCCCCTTCCCTTTCATAGATGACATTCAGGGTGAGTCTCCGGCTCCGTGTGGGACAGAGGAACCCGCCCGCACCTGCCCCAATGGGACCAAATGTCAGCCCTACTGGGAAGGGCCCAACAATGGGATCACTCAGTTCGACAACATCCTATTTGCAGTGTTGACAGTTTTCCAGTGCATCACCATGGAAGGGTGGACTGACCTCCTCTACAACGTAAGTGATGCAAGTTCGGGGAGAGGTGGTTCTCCCGGACCAGCCAATTCCTGAGGCTGCACTGGAGGGACTCTGAGCCGGTGAGGTGGGGGCGGGGGGCGGGAGGCGTCAGAACTTCAGGTAGAGGAGGCCATGGGGCATGGAAATCTAGAGGGCACACAGATGCTGCATAAATTTTCACTGTGCAAGTGTTTAAATATAATTTTAAATTTTTTAATATGTAAAGGTTGTGTGATTCAAAAGCCCACATGGATAAAAGAGTAATATCCTGGGATCTATACAAAGGGGCTCTGTGCTGGGACCCTCGCTGGCCCTCTGCCAGCCATACTCCATCCCTGGAGGGTGAGGAGTCCGTGGGCCTCAGGGGACATGTCTACCAGAAGCTGGCACCACCTACCCCACTTTCTAGACTGCCCTCTTGGATTATCCGGGATTCTGGAATTTTCTGCCCAAGCCCAGATTCTGTGGACTTGCATGAGATTCTTCTGTGCATCTGTTCTCCAACTGTGCCAGGTGTCCTAGGAGCATCTGTTGGCACAAATGTGGCCGGAGCTTAGATATGCAAGCAGGAGTGCCCATGCATGTGTGCATGAAGCCCCCTGCCCCCGGGCCAGACAGAGCCATGAGTAGGGGAGAAGGAAGGCCATGCATGGTCTGGGGGCAGGGCTGGCTTTGCTCACGTCATGATCCAGTGCAGACGTCTAGGTTCTAAATTCCACCCTGACCTTCCCAGTGCTTATGAAGGTATGTTTACAAAGGGGAAGTGTACAGCATATTTTCTTTAGTAGCTTTTAAATATTTACACAGAGTATGTGAGCCTCCATCAGCACTCTTGTCTGAGATCTTGAAAACGTTAGAGACAGGCCCACCTGCCCCACTTGCATCTTGTTTCCTATCCCCCCACCACGTGCAACCCCTTCAGCTCCTTGGTGTATACTTTCATTGTTTATGCAAATATAAGTGTAATCAAATCTATATCCTCCTCCCTTTCTTACCCCAAAGTGTAACATTCTATACATGCTGTTCTATTCTGTGATTTTTTTTGGGTCACATAACAATATATCCTGGAGATCTTTCCATGGCAGGACATGGAGCATGACTTCGTTCTTTTGTACAGCTGCCTAGCACTCCGTTGTTTGGCGGGCCATGGTGCATTTAATCAGTTCCCCAGAGACAAATGCTTGGAGGTTCCCCACCCTCTGACATTGAACTCAGAGCTTCCATGAGCCTGCTGCATTTATGTCTTTTCATCCTTGTGCAGATATGGCTGGGGTTGGTGGTGTCCATTCCGAGAAGTGGGATCGCTGGGTCAACAACTAAAGCGTATTTATAATTTTGATAGATACTCAGATGTACAGGTCTTAGAGCTGTGTCTGCCCTAAAACAGCACACCTTCTTCACCCACCTGTGCTGTGAGAGGCCCCCCAAGTCAGTCACCTGTCAGCAGCTGGAAGTGGGTGGAGTCAGGGATTCAGAATCAAACACAGGATGCCACAAGTGTAGCAACCTCATGGAGCATCCCCTGGGGCTGCTCCACACATATACCTCTGTCGACTCACGGAGGTATCCTCTCTGCCTGCTTAAATGCTGAAATTGCCAGTTAAGGTTCTTCCCATATGAGCCAGGGCTTGGCCTGCTGGGGAAGCAATACCAGGCTTCTTCCTGCATGTGGGGTTGCTGAACTCTCCTCCTGGTGGCAGTTTAGGTTTCTTGAGGAAGGTTCCCCCTTGGGGGTGGAGGGAGATTTGCAGGAACCTATCCTTTTGATCAGTGGCTCATTTTAAGGTGGGGTTGAGAGTGCAGCCTGGAAGTGGATTGCAAAAGTGCCATGGACAGTTGAGCATGTCACACACTGCACAAGCCACCACATCTCAGGAGTGTAATTCGTATTGTAGACTACATAGATGTCCACCATTATTACAGTTTTTTGACAACTATAAAGAATATAGGAAGGTATTCTAATTTGTATGAAGACCTTGTCTGAGCATAGCATCTCTAGAAACAGACCACAGATCTGAGAGATGTTCAGACTCTCTCTTGGGCCTCACTTGCAAACAGCTTGGACAAAAGGTTATGCCTAATTGGCAAAAGCTTGCTGGGGGATTTTTATGGGTTCTAGATTTTTGCTTTGCAGGGTGGTGTGAGAGAAGGCTACAGAGGGAAATGAGCCCTCCTGGGAGTGAAACAGAGCTGGGGGCCAGGATGGTAAGGAACTTGGGCAGAGAATGGGACTGAGGAACAGAAGCTAAGAAAATTGTGAACGTGGGAAAGGGTTGTGTCATGGGGTCGGATGTCCAGAGGAAGTGTCCAGAGGTTCAGAGGAAGACACTGGGGATGTGCTTAGTGGTGGGAGAGGAAGAATGAGCAGGACCACAAATTTCCAGAAGATTCTCTAGTCATAAGCACCATTGTTGGAAGAGATATTTGTCCTGGAAGCTTAGAGTTGAGCTGTCTTGGGGAAAACAAGCTCAGGGGAAGTGGTGAGAGCAGAGTCAGGCACCAGACTGCCTGGGTCCCCATCCTGACTCTACCACTTCCTTGCTGTGCAACCTTGGCTAGTCACTTGACCTCTCTGTGCCTCATTTCCACTTGTGCAGTATGAGCAGAAGCACAATCCTACCTCACAGGGCAGGAGGACTGAGTGAGGTGGGTACATGTAAAGTGTTTAGAACAGTGCCTGGTCCTCAGCGAGCTCTGTGTAGGCCGAATTCTCCACCCTGGTAGGCACGCCTCTCAGAAACATATATGAATTTTATATCATAAAAACCCCAACCACCCCTGAGGAAGTAGAGTGCGCTGTGGGGTCCCACTTTATTCCCCACCCTCACCCTCACCCTACTGGTAGCTGCTACTAACTCTGAGTCACCTTCTAGAACTTTACATGTACTTACATCCCACCGTCATCCTGTGGGTAGAAACCCCAGCAGTGTTGTGGGCCTGATGTGAGCCTAGAGCAGTAATAAAATACCACAAAGTGGTGGCTAAAACAACAGACATTCATTGTCTTGCAGTCTGGGTGCCAGGAGTGCCCTGTCAAGGCTCTGGCAGGGCCAGGCTGCCTCTGAAGGCCCTAGGGGAGGATCCTTCTTGGCCTCTTGCAGCTTCTGGTGGCTGCCAACAATCCTTGGCATTCCCTGGCTTACACATTCTCTGTCCTCCACTTGAATATCCCATCTTCGCATGGTTGCCTTCTTATAAAGACACCAGTCATGTTGGATTAGGGCACCCCCTACCCCAGCACCATCTGGTCTTAACTAATGACCTCTGCAATGCCCTGATTTCCAAATAAGGTCACATTCTGAGGTCCTGGGGGTTAAAACTTCAACATACCTTTTGCGGGGGTGGGGAATACGATTCAATCCATAACACCTCCCAAATAAACTACTGGACCTGAACCCTTGTCTGGGGCTTCTCAAATTAAGACACACACTTAATACAACCATTAGAGCATCTCATTGCCAAAGGCAGGGGCTAAGGTGACTACCTTTGAGTTTCTGCTGCTGAGGACAGAGCTGTTGCTTTTCCAGGCATCTGGGCCCTGCTCTTGTGTTCTGCCCTCTGCCGCCTCAATCCATCCGGCCACAGGCAGCCACAGGGTCTGGAATCTTTGTCCTCTGCATTTATGCTAGAGCTGAGGCCTCACTAGCCTCTGGCAGGTGAGACCCATGGGGAGAGAGTCCAGATGCACCAGCTCCAAGTGTCTTAGAATCCATGGGCTCAGATGCCAGATGGAGGCCACCTGCCTGGGTGGACAATGCTTTACGATCCCAACATCTCGTTTCTTTTCTCAGTATCATTAAAATCCATTCATGTATTCAGTAACTGTTGAGCACCTACTGTGTGCTGGGAAGGGGGCAGGTGAACGGCGGTGGCGGGGTGGGGGAGGGGACCCACCATGAAGAAGAGATGGACAGAAACAATAAACATGATAAATAATAAACTGCTCGTACAGCAGGACATAGACAGTAAGCAAATGCATAACAGGGGACATGGTGACATGCCCTGTGAGGACAAAAGAGCACAAGAGGAAGGTGGGGCTAGTCTAGGTCAGGCAATCAGGGAGGGCTCCTCCGAGGAAGTGGCATTTCCAGAGAGAAGGAGAGCTCCAGGCAGATGTTTGTGGGAGAGCATTGTTGGCAGAGGGAATGACAGCAGCTCACCTACACGGCATGTTCAGCCTCCTCCCAGGTTTTCCCAGTTTTGAGTTGTTCCTTTTCTTTTCTGCTTGGCTTCCTGGTTAAATAAAGTGCCTTCTGGAAAAAGCCTAACCTCAACTAATCAGCAGTGCTGTCAAAGGTTCATATCAGGATGTGCATCTCAGCATTATTTGTAAAAACAGAGCAAAATTGGAAGCAACTGGTTCAGCACCGTATGGTCCTTTCATATGAGGGAATATTACGTCGTCCTTAAAAAGCATCTGTTGGGAGAATATTTACGGATGCTTGCTGAATATTTACGGAAATACCGAATAATGATGAGTGGGGGGAATTGATTTTTTTTTTTTTTAAAGAATCAAGGTGAGGTAAACCTTATGTCTTGGCTCCGGCCACCATTACAAAATAGCATCCACCGGGCGGCTTCAACAACAGAAACTCATTTCTCACAATTCTGGAGGCTGGGCCCAGGGTGCCAGCACAGTGAGGACTCTCCACCTGGCTTGCAGACAGCCGCCCTCTTGCTGCCTCCTCACACGGTGGGGAGAGAGACAGCTAGCTCTCTGGTGTCTCTTCTTATAAGGACACTAACCTCATCGTGGGGACCCCACCTGTGTGACCCCATCTAACCCTGACCACCTCCCAGAGGCCCCGCCTCCTAATACCATCACACTGGGGGTTAGGGTTTCCACATGTGAACACAGGGGCCGGGATGCACTTCAGCCTGTTGCACCTTCTGATCTCAAGTGTGTACATTTGAAAATGTACATTAGGAAAAGAAAGACTGGAAGACACTGTACCAAGATGGCCTCTAGGTAGTGGGGTTCAGGAATCCTTATCTTCCCAATACTTCTCTGTATTATCAAATTTTCTACCGTGAGCACAATTACAATCAGGAAA